CTTCCTTCCTTCCTTCCTTCCTTCCTTCCTTCCTTCCTTCCTTCCTTCCTTCCTTCCTTCCTATCTTTCTCCTCCACCACTCCCCCTTCATACCAAGGCTGAATGCCCCCTCCCACACACCCCCGCAAGGCATTTGGCCTTCATGGCAGCCTGCTCTCCAACTCTCCATCTGCTTCACTGGAGGGAGGCCGTTTTTTCTTCAAGGCACGTTAGGTGACTGATGCTTCGCTGTTCTACATGTGGCAAGGGTTTACGAGGCCGTACTCTAGACCGACACCTGGGAATGCAGGTGGGCTTTGTGGTTGTGTGGTTTTCTTAATGCACAAATGCATCGCACGGACCTTCAGATAAATACAGAGGACTCGTGTAGCTTTCTTGCAGCCAACAGGCCTTAGCGGCTTTTCTGAATTTCAATTCGGAGTAGGAAGAATCCCACTGTTTAGTGATGCTTCTCCAGAAGAAAGGACCACAGCACAGCCGTTAGACCTTTGTTTAAAATTTACAAATTCCTGTTGTTCTCTTGGTGTTCTGTTCTTATCTCTGCGCGGCTATTGTTGCACAAAAGAGTCTTACTAACGGTTTACAATAAGACCGTTATGCTGTTGCGTCGAAGCAATATTATGTGTTGCATAAGGACTGAGAGTCAGCTGAGTGCTACATTTACATTTCAGATTGGTATACTTTTAAAAGCTATAAAGTCCTTTCAGAGGAAGACTGGATGGGGAAGATCACACACTCCTTAATGTGAACAACAGCATTGTTACTGCTTTATGTATCATCCCGGCTTTTAAATATGTTGTGACGATGTCTTGTTGTTGTTAGTTGCGAAGTCGTGTCCGACCCATCGCGACCCCGTGGACAACGTTCCTCCAGGCCTTCCTGTCCTCTACCATCTTCTGGAGTCCATTTAAGCTCACGCCTACTGCTTCAGTGACTCCATCCAGCCACCTCATTCCCCATCGTCCCCTTCTTCTCTTGCCCTCCATCTTTCCCAGCATTAGGCTCTTCTCCAGGGAGTCCTTCCTTCTCATTAGGTGGCCAAAGTATTTGAGTTTCAACTTCAGGATCTGGCCTTCTAAAGCAGGGCTTTTCAACCTTTTCACCCATTGTACCACCTAGCAAGGTGTGAAAAACTTGATGACCAAAAAAAAAAAGTGATAAATTACAGGTAGTCCTCGACTTACAACAGTTCGCTTAGTGACTGTTCGAAGTTACAATGGCACTGAAAAAAGTGCCCCCCAAGCCACAGCCGAGCAAGACACCTGCCTGACTGCCCGGCGGCGCTCTTCCTCCTGTCCGAGGTTTCCATTGTTGTGAGCATTTCTGTTGAGGATTGGCAGTGGGGGTGGGGTGGGGGGTGTTTGGTTTTTATTCCCCCCCATCTGCTGGGTGGTTGCAGCAGGTTTTGGTCACTTCACATGACCCTGGGACACTGTGACCCGTCATAAATATGAATCAGTTGCCAAGCACCTGAATGTAAATCACAAGACCCTGGAGATGCTGCAACATTCCAGCTGATTGGTGCTTCTTCAGGGCTCAGCAGAAGCGCCAGGATCAGCGCCGAGCTCCAGCTGGAGCCTGGTGCTGATCCTGGCGCTTCCGCTGAGCCCTGACAGTTCTGAAGAAGCGCCAATCAGCTGGAAAGCGGAACTGATCCTGGCGCTTCCGCTGAGCCCGGACAGCCCTGCAGCTCCAGCCGTCTCTCGCTTAGGCTTGTGCGGTGCTGCCACCGGTTCAGCTCATTCCCCTCCCCTGCTATCACTTTTCTAGGATGGTTGTGTACCACCTGCCAGGTGCCAATGTACCACAGGTGGTACCCGTACCACTGGTTGACAAGCCCTGTTCTAAAGAGCAGTCGGGGTTGATCTCCTCTAGGACTGACCGGTTTGATCGCCTTGCAGTCCAGGGGACTCGCAGGAGTCTTCTCCAGCACCAGAGTTCAAAGGCCTCCATTCTTTGGCGCTCAGCCTTCCTTATGGTCCAACTTTCACAGCCATATATTGCAACTGGGAAAACCGTGGCCATGAGGATGTCTGAAGACCTTCAATTCAAGGTGCTTTTTGTAGGAAGAGAGTCTTCAATCAGAGGTTTAGCCTGGTTGGATCAGCTTCTAATTGTCTACTTGGCTAATTTTAACCTTGAAATGTAAAGGCCGCTGGAATGCAGGGAGTCCTCGTTTAACAACGGCCTTGTACAGTAAAATGGAGATGTAAAA